CTTTGTTTCCCAAGCTGGGCACCCGGAACCAGTCCTGGGGAGAGTTCCAGCCGCAGCAGCGCAGCTGGGAGAGGGACAGGGTCAGAGGGGCCCGGGCGGGGGGTGGGGGGACAGGGAGGCAAGATGGTTGGGGGCCCTGGTCGGCAAACCGTGGCTCGCGAGCCACATGCGGCTCTTTGGCCCCTTGAGTGTGGCGGCTCTTCCACAAAATACCACGTGCGGGCGCGCGCGTACAGTGCGATGGAAACGTCGTGGCCCCTGCGCAGAAGCCGGTTTTCGGAAAGGAGATGGACGAAACGAGTGTGCAAGACGCGCGTGGACGGGAGAGTTGGAAGGGGTCGACCTCAGCGAACGGGCCGCAATCAGATTGAGGATGTTTTTAGCAAAGGCCAGCCTAGGAGCACCCTAACGAAGTTAATAACAATGGACTTACCTATAGAGTTTAAGTTTTAAAAATTTGGCTCAAAAGGAATTTCAATCGTTGTCCTGTTGCTATTTGGCTCTGTTGGCTCATGAGTTTGCCGACCACTGGTTTGGGGGATCAGGGGACTGGGTCATGGTATGAGGTCAAGGTGGGAGCAGGGGGCCGAGTAATGGGGTGCAGGGTGGGGGCTGTGGGCTGGGCTGGGATCACGACAGGGTCAAGGGACACTAGGGGAACATGGGGTTGGGAGAGACGAATCACGGGGCGACCTGGGGCTAGAGGAGAAGCTGCAACATCACGCTGTGGACCGGAAATTGGGTGGGCAGTGCATTCAGCCTTAGTGAGGGAGCAGGTGGATGGGGGGGCGCGGGGCCACAAGAGTGACCAGAGAACAGAGTCGCAGGTGGGCCGGGTCCCGTGGGACCCAGAGTCGCTAGGGGCGGGGATTGGGGTCACGCTAGGGCCTTGGGGGTGAGGGCGGATCCTGTCGAGGCAGAGGGCCGGGCCTTTCCAGGGTCTGGAGGGAGCTGGGGAACTGGGCCATAATGGGGCCAGTTATGGGGTCATCGGAGGGCGGGGCCCCAGCGGGCGTGGCGGGAGTGGGGTGCGCAGGTGGGGGGACATTGGGGGCGGGGCTAGAGGGCGGCTGCTCCTCCCGGAG